ATCATCTTGGCACCATGTTCGATCTGAAGATAACCCTGCGGATTGTGCTACAAGAGGACTGTCGACACAGCAGTTATTAGAACATCAACTGTGGTGGCAGGGCCCGCAGTGGTTGTTGGCATTTGATCCCAACATGATCAAAAATGAAATATACCAACCACCAGAATTAGAAACCAAGAAAACTAGTGTTATCGCAGCCTTATCTCACAAAAATGATTTTATTTTACAATTATTACATGAATGCAGCTCGACGCGGCGCATCGTAACAACAATCGGCTGGCTATCACGTTTCACACAATGGTTGCGAAACAAACAAATACCTCGGCAAAACTACCTATCGTCAACAGAAAAGCAACATGCTCTGAATTTAGTTATCAAAACTGTACAATCGATAGAATTTGAAGATGACATTCAACAACTTCAAAAACAAGAAAAGTTGAGAAGATCCAGTAAGCTGCTGAGCCTCAATCCATACATTGACCCTAGTGATGGATTGCTGAAAGTTGGTGGACGATTGAACAACTCATTGCTTAGTCAATCAGCAAAGCATCCCACAATACTACCAAGTCATGGCAAACTCACTGAGCTCATCATACAGAAGGCTCACTCCACCACACTACACGGTGGACCTAGCTTGACTTTGTCTCACACCCGAGAAAACTACTGGATTCTCAGTGGGCTTCGCACAGTGAAGAGAGAACTTCGCAAATGTGTGACATGTCGACGCTTCAAAGAAAAGAAAAGAACACAGATTATGGCTGATTTACCAAAGCCTCGCGTCACACCTTCGCGCGCATTCACTCATTGTGGCGTTGACTTCACTGGAGCCTTTGACATCAAAGCAAACAAAGGTCGTGGAGTACGAAGGGCTATGTCGCAGTGTTTGTTTGTCTCTCGACAAAGGCTGTCCATCTTGAGTTGGTGTCCGACCTTAGTACACCTGGATTTCTGGCTGCATTTCGACGTTTCTGCGCCAGAAGATCTACCCCGAAACACATGTACAGCGATCAGGGTAGAAACTTCATCGGAGCATCCAAAGAACTTAAGAAGGAATACAAAGATATCCTCGCAACGATCAATGAAGAGCTAATAAACAAGATCGACGACCTTGATATACAGTGGCATTTCAATGCGCCAGCCTACCCTTCTGCAGGTGGACTATGGGAAGCTGCCGTTAAGAGCTTGAAACACCACCTTCGTCGTGTGATAGGAGAGCAAAATCTCACGTACGAAGAGTTCATCACACTGCTTCACCAGATCGAAGCGTGTCTAAACTCTAGGCCTCTACTAGCCTTGACCGAAAGCCCAGAGGATGAATACCTAACACCGGGACATTTCTTAGTTGGAGGATCACTGATATCAAGACCACAAACAGATCCTAATCACATGAACTTGACAAAGGCAGATGATTCAAGCCATGAACAAACAGTTGTGGAAGACATGGTCATCTGACTACCTACAACAGCTGCAAGTTCGTACCAAGTGGAGAACCCCCTCAAAAAACATCGAGATCAACGATATTGTCCTAATCAAGGATGAAAACTTACCCCCTGGCAAATGGTTAATGGGTAGGGTCATTGATGTTCACCCTGGTAAGGATGGATACGTACGGGTGGTGTCAGTCAAAACCAAAAATGGAATCATGCAGAGGCCGATCTTAAAACTATCCGTTCTACCGGTGAGAGAAGAACTCACGGAACAACCTACAAGCAACGACGTTCAATCATCTACATGTGATGACGTCACAACAGCTGACTCGCAAGCAAAACAACAACGACCAAGGCGCACGACGAGAAGGTTTGTCAGAACATTCTTTACGATGGTGGTGATGCTGTTCCTATGTCTGTTCACCCCTAGCCAGTGTTCATACAACATATCAGCATTGGATAACAACCAAAACATTTATTTTGACAAAATGTATGACATAAATCTTATACGGGTGAATGGAAATTAATTGTGTACTATAATATGAGTACATACTGGTCAGCATTAAGTCACGAGAAAAGTTACGTCGGTCACTTGGAAGAGTACCTACACGGCATTACGCTTCCAGTACAATACAAGAGTATCATATATCAGCTGCAACATGAAATATCCGAAATTCAACATTACAACAGGATACTCAAGAACGGTGTTCACAGAAGACAAAAAAGAGGACTGATCAATGGTGTGGGATATGTGGCCCATTCCTTATTCGGTGTCCTGGACGAGCGTTTCGCGAAGACATATGAAAAGAACATAGAAAAAAATTCTATGAACGAAAATCAACTACAACTTCTGCTTCGAAACCAAACAAGTGTCATAGAAGCACAGTACAATATTCTTCAAAGAAACGAAGCCATCATGAACAAGTGGTTTGGATTGGTTCAGAAATACCTACAGAATATAACCTTCACTACCAACCGAATAAAGAAAATGAATAACGACGAGCTACATATCCTGTCAGCATCTATGTCAGCCATGATTATTATCACTAATGTTCGGCACTTGCAGGAAAGTGTTATTAACACCCTAACAGACCTTGCAAATGGTCATATGGACGCTCACTTATTGCCTCCAGAACAATTGGAAGAGCAGCTCAATATTATATACAGACACATACCAAATGACCTGACTTTGCCTGCCGATATGCACGACTTTAGGGAACTATACAAATTGATGAAGATAAGTGGTGACCTGAGCAACTCTTATCTGATTATCGAAATTAAGATTCCTCTGGTCAACAAGGAAACCTTTGAGCTGGATAAGGCTATAAGTCTTCCGCAGCAGAACTACATTGTGGAAAATATAACACCCTATATCGCATTCAATCTGCAAAAAGACCTGCTCCTCACGCTATCAGAATCTGACATTCAAAATTGTGTCCATACACAGACAAACAGATTGTTATGCTCTATAGATAAACCGATTTATGATTTCCAAAACACACGAATTAAAAAAAAACCGAGCGAAAAATACCGAGCAAAGCTCGGTCAACCGGGAACTACTAATTAAGCTATTTGTAATCATTAATAAACTGTCAAAATTTACCTTCTTATTCTAACGATATTGTAGCAGTTTTTCATTGCCTAAAATCACGGACAAAAAGACACTTTCTAAAAATAAATCCTAGCTAGATCGATTTATTGCCCCCGAAACTCCCTGCACACAAAATTTTATGAAAATCGTTGGAGCCGTTTCCGAGGTTCCGATTATATATATATACAAGAATTGCTCGTTTAAAGGTATTGGATAGGATATTGGGCGGTCATAGCTTGGGCGGTCACAAAATCGTAATTCCATGGTTCGAGCCCAGACTGACCGGCCGACTTTTTTTAATTTTTTTTCAAGTTCTTTTCTTTTTTGGGAAAATCTTTTTTTTCGAGCCCTTTTTTTAGTATTTTTTAAAAACACAAAAATTTTAATTAAACTAATTGCACTCATGATTTTTTATTCAAATAACCAGTTCAGTTTTTTCTATTATGTCGCTAAGATAAAAAAATATTATTCGTATTTCATCAGTATGTAATTTGTATCTAAATATAATTTCCAAAACACACGAATTAAAAAAACCGAGCGAAAAATACCGAGCAAAGCTCGGTCAACCGGGTACTATTATTTATGCAGCACGAATGTGTCGGTTCAACCTAAGAACGGCCACGGGCTGAGAGAATACCAAGCATTCTATCTAAGTCAACAGGAATGGCAGCACATCCACATTTTTATTTTTAATAGTAGATCAAGATTCTTTTATCTTACTTGTACGGGTTACCGCACATATTTTATGTAATTTTAATTCAATGACTCGTTTATTTAGGTCACGCAGAAACAATGCATTTGTCATTTGCAAAATCATGTAACTTCCGTACTTTTTGCCTATACATCAATTTATAATTCTTTACAATAAATTCAGTGTTAGATCGACTTTCATTGGGTTTGTTTCGTATACTAACTTTCCCTTGCATCCCATCTGCACTCATTCATTTTATATCCTGTATACATCTTACAGTGTTTTTGGTCCTTCGAAAAGACAAGATCACATCTGTGGATTTCCATCGACATTTGGAAAATACAGGTACAGTGGTTCCTACGGTTACGTCACTTAATTTTCTTTGTGGATTTTGTGCGATTGCGAATCGGTTGACTGGCTTCCCAGAAGCGGGTCCCACCAGTTCAATTGAGAAGGCGCAAAAAAAGTCGTACTAGGTTTGCGAAGATATAGAGTGGCCTGGACCGCTGGACAAACATCTGCTACAGCTGCTATCAAAGTGGACAGTTGTCGTCGATATTCGACACAGTGAACAGTGCTAAGACTCAGTGAGCAGTGAATTTGGAGGGTACCTTTTTTCGTCCTCGGAGTGTCACACAGTGAACAAGCATAATGGAGAGTCTACTTCAGCGCCAACAGGAGATTGTTGAAGCGATCAAGAAGATAGAAAGAAACTTCAGCAAGGATTCCGCAATACGCAAGACTCGTAAGTACTTGAACGAGCGACTCGATGACCTTGATAAACTGTGGGCCGAGTTCCAAGTAAACAACCATAAGTTATCCGACTATGAGAATGACGCTGATCCTTACTTTACTGAAAATCAGTACCAACAAGCAAGAACGTACTTTGATACTGTGCGCATCAAGATATCGACCTGCCCCCCTGCACGTGAACCTGTTTCTCCGGCACCAGAAGCGCTGCCTAAGATCGTAGCGACACCGGAGCCGACTCCATCTACGGCTCCACCTAAACTACAGCCGAGAGTCACTCTGCCATCGACGTCAAATGCAACAACGGTCTCGCCTACAGATCGTCGCCAGGCAGATGAATTGGTATCTCTGCAAAGAACCAACTTCAGAGCTTTCCATCGACAAGTGAATAGCTTGCGACTTGACGAGATACGCAACAAATAGGAGCTGGAAGCTGAAAAATATATTGAACTAGAGTGTATACTTTCTGTAACGTGTGTACATTGTCTCAATAATAGAGTCGGGAAGTTTTTTTTTAATTACGGAAATGAACGATACTTACAATTTCTTGCGCCAGACTCACAGTCTTGCGGTCGATGATGTGTCCAGTGATTTTGTTGAGCGGGATGATAGTGGTGCGAGTCTGCAGCTGCCCGCGCTGCAGCAATAGCTTGCTGGTCACCTCAGTGTCCACCACCACGTTGTACAACTGAACACAGCAAATTCAACTAGTGAATTATATACTCACCTGCCATGAAGGACCATATTTTGTTTTTGGTCGATAATCACAAAATTTAGATGTGAATGCTAAAAATCATCAATCTTCTTGATAAAATCTGTTTTTTTTTTAATTTCTGACTAATACATTATAAATAAATAAAACAAAATTATTACCCGACCACCTGCAGCAGTCTCCAAAGCAGTGCAATACTTAGAATCACAGACGTCTATCAATCTGCAAATAGTACCTGTAATACCATAAACAGAGTCAAAATACGATAAAAATGTTTATGAGCGATAATAGAAAACATTCACTAAATGAAGTGTGCGTTTGACTGCAATAACTATTGATGCGGACTTCAAAACAGCCAGTATGTGTTGAAATAATACTAGTTTTTACGGAATTTATCGCGTATATTTAACTTTTTAAATACCCGACGTTTCGAAGGTTTTACAGCACTCATGGTCCGACGGGCGGGACTGAGATGTTCAACGTGCATATGTCATAGTTAACCGCGGTTACCATAGATTAAAATTTTACTTTTGTTCCGATCTACACAGTATGAACTTATGGTATCTTGAAGTCTTGCAGTTGTATGCTTGGGTTGGGATTTAATTGTATTTTTTATAGGATCCCAAGCAGATGGTAGCACCCAGCCATCTTCTCTATTGAAATTAGGATGTTTTTTGATTACAATAGCCTCGCGAATCATCCTTGGAAGGAAATCGGTGTTCTTTAGCGAGCATTTGTGGTCTATCAAATCTGATGTAGTGACGGGGGCGAACCTGTACGTGTTCACAGACTGCAGACTTCCCGGAGCGTCGATGCTTCACATCAGCTATATGTTCTTTAACGCGGGTTTTAATTGATCTTTTAGTTTGTCCTATGTAGGAGAGACCACATTCACAATCAAGCTTGTACACTCCTGTGTCTTGCAGAGAGACATTACACTTGACTGATGGTAAAAACTGACCAATCTTCTTCGGCGGCTTGAAGTATGTTTTGATGGAAGCGCGCTTCAAGATGTAGCCAATCTTGTCAGTGACTCCTCTAACATATGGCAGTACAGCAGGTACACGCTCGAATGTGGCCGGCCACACGTTCACTGTGACGTAGGCGCGGGACCCGAAGCTTGTTATCCTGCAAAACTTGCTTGACATGGTGGAGCTCGGCAGCCAGGTGCTTACTGTCACAGATCCCTCGTGCTCTCTGAAACAAAGATTTACCCACGGTAGCTAACTCTGAAGGATGGTGGTGAGAATCAGCGTTAAAATATCTATCTGTATGGGTCTTTTTTCTATACACAGTATGGCTCAAGGTGTTATCAGGATTCCGAATTACTAACACATCTAGAAAAGCTAAGGAATTGTTTGCCTATAACTCCATTGTAAACTGAATTTTAGAATTAATAGAGTTAAGATGGTCTAAAAATGCAGTTACTTTATCTAAAGGTAGAATTGTGAAAGTGTCGTCTACGTACCGCTTGTAGAATCTTGGATTTATGGGAGAAGTAAGCAGGGCTTTCTCCTCAAAGTCTTCCATGAATATGTAGGCGACAATGAGAGATACAGGTTAGCCCATCGCCACACTATCTACTTGTTTGTAGAACTCCTCCTTCCACAATAGGTAGCCAGATGTAAGGCAGTGTCTGAGTAATACTGCATATTCTACGGGCATGTTGTTTTCTTCCAGCCTTCTAGTTACAATTGAGATGCAGTCTTCAACAGGTAAGCATGTAAACAATGACTGCACATCAAAACTGACCATAGCTTCATTGTCTGCCAGATGTAGGTCTTTAATGTCGCTGACAAAATGGTAGGAATCCTTTGTGTGTACTCTTATACGTCCCCTGAGCGGTGAGAGTATTTTCGCTAAGTGTTGAGCCAATCTGTAAGTTAGTGAATCGATTTGGCTCACTGAGCATTTTGGTGATTTGGGGCACGTAGGTATTATCCATTTTACATCCAGATTTAATTTTTCGGAGTGTTTCTTTATGAGATCACTAGTTGTTTTTAGTGTGCAATTTGTTGGGTCGTTTGACGTCGGTGATCGTTTGACACCGAGGCTATTGAAATCAAAAAACATCCTAATTTCAATAGAGAAGATGGCTGGGTGCTACCATCTGCTTGGGATCCTATAATAGATAAAATTAAATCCCAACCCAAGCATACAACTGCAAGACTTCAAGATACCATAAGTACATACCGTGTAGATCGGAACAAAAGTTAAATTTTTATCTATGGTAACCGCGGTTAACTATGACATCTGGACGTTGAACATCTCAGTCCCGCCCGTGACCATGAGTGCTGTAAAGCATTCGAAACGTCGGGTATTTAAAAAGTTAAATATACGCGATAAATTCCGTAAAAACTAGTATTATTTCAATGTGTAGTGTTCGCGTAAATATAAGAAATAATTAGTCAGTATGTGTCCACTGTAGTGCACAGTAAGAGAGCAAAGTGGAATGCGGGCTACCCACCAGCCACGCGGCTGTGATCAAAGTCGGGCTGCGGCGGCTGGTAGCGGAAGTCGCAGCGCTGCAAGCGCGCTGCCAGAGTGTCCGGTGCTGTGCACAGTACGAAAGCAAAGTGGAATGCGGGCTACCCACCAGCCACGCGGCTGTGATCAAAGTCGGGCTGCGGCGGCTGGTAGCGGAAGTCGCAGCGCTGCAAGCGCACTGCCAGAGTGTCCGCTGCTGTGCACAGTACGAAAGCAAAGTGGAATGCGGGCTACCCACCAGCCACGCGGCTGTGATCAAAGTCGGGCTGCGGCGGCTGGTAGCGGAAGTCGCAGCGCTGCAAGCGCACTGCCAGAGTGTCCGCTGCTGTGCACAGTACGAAAGCAAAGTGGAATGCGGGCTACCCACCAGCCACGCGGCTGTGATCAAAGTCGGGCTGCGGCGGCTGGTAGCGGAAGTCGCAGCGCTGCAAGCGCACTCCAGAGTGTCCGCTGCTGTGCACAGTACGAAAGCAAAGTGGAATGCGGGCTACCCACCAGCCACGCGGCTGTGATCAAAGTCGGGCTGCGGCGGCTGGTAGCGGAAGTCGCAGCGCTGCAAGCGCGCTGCCAGAGTGTCCGCTGCTGTGCACAGTACGAAAGTAAAGTGGAATGCGGGCTACCCACCAGCCACGCGGCTGTGATCAAAGTCGGGCTGCGGCGGCTGGTAGCGGAAGTCGCAGCGCTGCAAGCGCGCTGCCAGAGTGTCCGCTGCTGTGCACAGTACGAAAGCAAAGTGGAATGCGGGCTACCCACCAGCCACGCGGCTGTGATCAAAGTCGGGCTGCGGCGGCTGGTAGCGGAAGTCGCAGCGCTGCAAGCGCGCTGCCAGAGTGTCCGCTGCTGTGCACAGTACGAAAGCAAAGTGGAATGCGGGCTACCCACCAGCCACGCGGCTGTGATCAAAGTCGGGCTGCGGCGGCTGGTAGCGGAAGTCGCAGCGCTGCAAGCGCACTGCCAGAGTGTCCGCTGCTGTGCACAGTACGAAAGCAAAGTGGAATGCGGGCTACCCCCTAGCCACGCGGCTGTGATCAAAGTCGGGCTGCGGCGGCTGGTAGCGGAAGTCGCAGCGCTGCAAGCGCACTGCCAGAGTGTCCGCTGCTGTGCACAGTACGAAAGCAAAATGGAATGCGGGCTACCCACCAGCCACGCGGCTGTGATCAAAGTCGGGCTGCGGCGGCTGGTAGCGGAAGTCGCAGCGCTGCAAGCGCACTGCCAGAGTGTCCGCTGCTGTGCACAGTACGAAAGCAAAGTGGAATGCGGGCTACCCACCAGCCACGCGGCTGTGATCAAAGTCGGGCTGCGGCGGCTGGTAGCGGAAGTCGCAGCGCTGCAAGCGCGCTGCCAGAGTGTCCGCTGCTGTGCACAGTACGAAAGCAAAGTGGAATGCGGGCTACCCACCAGCCACGCGGCTGTGATCAAAGTCGGGCTGCGGCGGCTGGTAGCGGAAGTCGCAGCGCTGCAAGCGCGCTGCGAGAGTGTCCGCTGCTGTGCACAGTACGAAAGCAAAGTGAAATGCGGGCTACCCACCAGCCACGCGGCTGTGATCAAAGTCGGTCTGCGGCGGCTGGTAGCGGAAGTCGCAGCGCTGCAAGCGCACTGCCAGAGTGTCCGCTGCTGTGCACAGTACGAAAGCAAAGTGGAATGCGGGCTACCCCCTAGCCACGCGGCTGTGATCAAAGTCGGGCTGCGGCGGCTGGTAGCGGAAGTCGCAGCGCTGCAAGCGCACTGCCAGAGTGTCCGCTGCTGTGCACAGTACGAAAGCAAAGTGGAATGCGGGCTACCCACCAGCCACGCGGCTGTGATCAAAGTCGGGCTGCGGCGGCTGATAGCGGAAGTCTCAGCCCTGCAAGCGCGCTGCCAGTGTCCGCTGCTGTGCACAGTACGAAAGCAAAGTGGAATGCGGGCTACCCACCAGCCACGCGGCTGTGATCAAAGTCGGGCTGCGGCGGCTGGTAGCGGAAGTCGCAGCGCTGCAAGCGCACTGCCAGAGTGTCCGCTGCTGTGCACAGTACGAAAGCAAAATGGAATGCGGGCTACCCACCAGCCACGCGGCTGTGATCAAAGTCGGGCTGCGGCGGCTGGTAGCGGAAGTCGCAGCGCTGCAAGCGCACTGCCAGAGTGTCCGCTGCTGTGCACAGTACGAAAGCAAAGTGGAATGCGGGCTACCCACCAGCCACGCGGCTGTGATCAAAGTCGGGCTGCGGCGGCTGATAGCGGAAGTCTCAGCGCTGCAAGCGCGCTGCCAGAGTGTCCGCTGCTGTGCACAGTACGAAAGCAAAGTGGAATGCGGGCTACCCACCAGCCACGCGGCTGTGATCAAAGTCGGGCTGCGGCGGCTGGTAGCGGAAGTCGCAGCGCTGCAAGCGCACTGCCAGAGTGTCCGCTGCTGTGCACAGTACGAAAGCAAAGTGGAATGCGGGCTACCCACCAGCCACGCGGCTGTGATCAAAGTCGGGCTGCGGCGGCTGGTAGCGGAAGTCGCAGCGCTGCAAGCGCACTGCCAGAGTGTCCGCTGCTGTGCACAGTACGAAAGCAAAGTGGAATGCGGGCTACCCACCAGCCACGCGGCTGTGATCAAAGTCGGGCTGCGGCGGCTGGTAGCGGAAGTCGCAGCGCTGCAAGCGCGCTGCCAGAGTGTCCGCTGCTGTGCACAGTACGAAAGCAAAGTGGAATGCGGGCTACCCACCAGCCACGCGGCTGTGATCAAAGTCGGGCTGCGGCGGCTGGTAGCGGAAGTCGCAGCGCTGCAAGCGCGCTGCCAGAGTGTCCGCTGCTGTGCACAGTACGAAAGCAAAGTGGAATGCGGGCTACCCACCAGCCACGCGGCTGTGATCAAAGTCGGGCTGCGGCGGCTGGTAGCGGAAGTCGCAGCGCTGCAAGCGCACTGCCAGAGTGTCCGCTGCTGTGCACAGTACGAAAGCAAAGTGGAATGCGGGCTACCCCCTAGCCACGCGGCTGTGATCAAAGTCGGGCTGCGGCGGCTGGTAGCGGAAGTCGCAGCGCTGCAAGCGCACTGCCAGTGTCCGCTGCTGTGCACAGTACGAAAGCAAAGTGGAATGCGGGCTACCCACCAGCCACGCGGCTGTAATCAAAGTCGGGCTGCGGCGGCTGATAGCGGAAGTCTCAGCGCTGCAAGCGCACTGCCAGAGTGTCCGCTGCTGTGCACAGTACGAAAGCAAAGTGGAATGCGGGCTACGCACCAGCCACGCGGCTGTGATCAAAGTCGGGCTGCGGCGGCTGGTAGCGGAAGTCGCAGCGCTGCAAGCGCACTGCCAGAGTGTCCGCTGCTGTGCACAGTACGAAAGCAAAGTGGAATGCGGGCTACCCACCAGCCACGCGGCTGTGATCAAAGTCGGGCTGCGGCGGCTGGTAGCGGAAGTCGCAGCGCTGCAAGCGCACTGCCAGAGTGTCCGCTGCTGTGCACAGTACGAAAGCAAAGTGGAATGCGGGCTACCCACCAGCCACGCGGCTGTGATCAAAGTCGGGCTGCGGCGGCTGATAGCGGAAGTCGCAGCGCTGCAAGCGCACTGCCAGAGTGTCCGCTGCTGTGCACAGTACGAAAGCAAAGTGGAATGCGGGCTACCCACCAGCCACGCGGCTGTGATCAAAGTCGGGCTGCGGCGGCTGGTAGCGGAAGTCGCAGCGCTGCAAGCGCACTGCTAGAGTGTCCGCTGCTGTGCACAGTACGAAAGCAAAGTGGAATGCGGGCTACCCACCAGCCACGCGGCTGTGATCAAAGTCGGGCTGCGGCGGCTGGTAGCGGAAGTCGCAGCGCTGCAAGCGCGCTGCCAGAGTATCCGCTGCTGTGCACAGTACGAAAGCAAAGTGGAATGCGGGCTACCCACCAGCCACGCGGCTGTGATCAAATTCGGGCTGCGGCGGCTGGTAGCGGAAGTCGCAGCGCTGCAATCGCACTGCCAGAGTGTCCGCTGCTGTGCACAGTACGAAAGCAAAGTGGAATGCGGGCTACCCACCAGCCACGCGGCTGTGATCAAAGTCGGGCTGCGGCGGCTGGTAGCGGAAGTCGCAGCGCTGCAAGCGCACTGCCAGAGTGTCCGCTGCTGTGCACAGTAGGAAAGCAAAGTGGAATGCGGGCTACCCACCAGCCACGCGGCTGTGATCAAAGTCGGGCTGCGGCGGCTGGTAGCGGAAGTCGCAGCGCTGCAAGCGCGCTGCCAGAGTGTCCGCTGCTGTGCACAGTACGAAAGCAAAGTGGAATGCGGGCTACCCACCAGCCACGCGGCTGTGATCAAAGTCGGGCTGCGGCGGCTGGTAGCGGAAGTCGCAGCGCTGCAAGCGCGCTGCCAGAGTGTCCGCTGCTGTGCACAGTACGAAAGCAAAGTGGAATGCGGGCTACCCACCAGCCACGCGGCTGTGATCAAAGTCGGGCTGCGGCGGCTGGTAGCGGAAGTCGCAGCGCTGCAAGCGCACTGCCAGAGTGTCCGCTGCTGTGCACAGTACGAAAGCAAAGTGGAATGCGGGCTACCCACCAGCCACGCGGCTGTTATCAAAGTCGGGCTGCGGCGGCTGGTAGCGGAAGTCGCAGCGCTGCAAGCGCGCTGCCAAAGTGTCCGCTGCTGTGCACAGTACGAAAGCAAAGTGGAATGCGGGCTACCCACCAGCCACGCGGCTGTGATCAGTCGGGCTGCGGCGGCTGGTAGCGGAAGTCGCAGCGCTGCAAGCGCACTGCCAGAGTGTCCGCTGCTGTGCACAGTACGAAAGCAAAGTGGAATGCGGGCTACCCACCAGCCACGCGGCTGTGATCAAAGTCGGGCTGCGGCGGCTAGTAGCGGAAGTCGCAGCGCTGCAAGCGCACTGCCAGAGTGTCCGCTGCTGTGCACAGTACGAAAGCAAAGTGGAATGCGGGCTACCCACCAGCCACGCGGCTGTGATCAAAGTCGGGCTGCGGCGGCTGGTAGCGGAAGTCGCAGCGCTGCAAAGCGCGCTGCCAGAGTGTCCGCTGCTGTGCACAGTACGAAAGTAAAGTGGAATGCGGGCTACCCACCAGCCACGCGGCTGTGATCAAAGTCGGGCTGCGGCGGCTGATAGCGGAAGTCTCAGCGCTGCAAGCGCGCTGCCAGAGTGTCCGCTGCTGTGCACAGTACGAAAGCAAAGTGGAATGCGGGCTACCCACTAGCCACGCGGCTGTGATCAAAGTCGGGCTGCGGCGGCTGATAGCGGAAGTCGCAGCGCTGCAAGCGCGCTGCCAGAGTGTCCGCTGCTGTGCACAGTACGAAAGCAAAGTGGAATGCGGGCTACCCACCAGCCACGCGGCTGTGATCAAAGTCGGGCTGCGGCGGCTGGTAGCGGAAGTCGCAGCGCTGCAAGCGCGCCGCCAGTGTGTCCGCAGCGTCCCGTTTGGCCCGCACACTGGACTGCAGCGAGCGCACGGACTCCTTCAGCTGCGACCTTCGTTCCTCATTGAAGTTCATCCGCGATAGTTCTGCCTTAAATATTAAATGTAATATAAAAATTGGTGTTCGATTATGACCATACGAATAAGTGAAAACTTCTGATTTTGCAAATTTTTTTGCTATCGTAATATTACGTTTAAGTGAATCAAACTGCAGCTAAATTATGGTGGCTCCACGCGCGAATTCACGGCAAAAGTCGTGTCCTCCACATTCACAGGATGCTCACAATCTTTCGTGAAACTGCCGCGAAATGGACGTAAAGTACGGCCAACGAGAAGCGATACCAAATTTAAATAAAACCAATGTAAGGCTAATAGGAATAGCAGGGGTGTGTAACTTTTTGGTAGTTAGATTATATATTTAAGTAGATAGTATAGTTTAAAAAATGTCTAGCAAACCAAAAAAATTTCGTTACAACTTTTCATAAATAAAAATTCACGCTTGTCACCCAGAGGGGTAGGCAGATACTACAGACTTCCATTTGGCACGATCCTGACACACCTCTAAATTGCTAATTTGGTCGATAAATTTTCGCCTAGGACGTCCCTTTCAGACTCTCCCATTTACTTCTGCAACATAAATTTTCTTTGTCACTGTTTTGTTCCTCATTCATTCTTTCCACATGACCAAACCACCGAAGCATTCCTTTCCTAATCCTGGTCACAATATCATCTTGCAAACCATACTCTTCTCCTATCACACAATTTCTCGCCCTGTCATTCAGATTCAGCCCTAACATACTCCTTAACGACCGCATTTCTACTGCGTTTAATCTACTCTCGTGCTTTTTTTGCCACACCCAACTTTCACTGCCATACGTTAAAGTTGGGACCAACACAGCATTGTGATTTGCCATACGTGCCTTTTTTGACACATTCTGACTCTTCACAATAGAGTGTAGGGCCCCATTTACTCTATTTCCAGCCCCTTTTTATAAATTTTGTTATAATTTGAATTATTGTATAATGTGCATTTAAATTAAATAACGGGAATAATAATAATGTTTCTGAATATCGCTTGCCTAACAACTGTGTGCCCGGTGTATGGTAACAGGCTTGCCCTCTGTTACATAGCGACTTAAATATATGAGACAAAATGTGGGTATTATTATATCTGCCTACCCCTTAGGGATACAGGACTGATTTTTTATTTTTTTTATTTTATTTAACAAGTACACTTACAATACAACTATATGTCAATTACGAAAACACACATCACTATACTCTCTGATATGTATATCAATAACAAGTGTACATAACATTCACAGATTGAGTCGTGCAATTTTGGGTTAATTTGGAGTACAAATATCATCCAATCAATACAATGTAAATTAAAACTATTCAAATAACTGATGATATGTTATGTTTATGGAAATGAGGATAAAAATATTTTTTTGAGGAAATCATTGTTTATTCAGTCAGACGCCGATTCTTCTGAGTCTGTAGAGTCAGAATCAGAGTCTGTAACACGTATAATAAATTTATCCGTCACGTTATCAACAAAACAAAATAACAATAATTAAATAAACAACAACAAAAAACAAAAATGTTAACAAATAACTTGTATCACCACGAGCGTGTTTCGAAAAGGAATGAATCACTAGTCACTATTTTTATTAAACTGGCCTCCCGAATGGCCTGACATGTTTTTGCCGGGAAAACGAGATATTACGACAAATATCCAAGATAGAAAGAGATAGATAGTAGATTATCAACTCCAAAGTTGTTTTTAAGGTAAATGACCTTTCGTATCGCTGCTAGTTGGCCGTACTTTAGAAGCTGCTGCTCCAATAACTTTTAACTTTTAATTTCAATATTCATTTGAGTACTACTTATCCGCCTCCAGGCATCACTTTTCTTATTTTTATCCTTAAGATGCTGGTTTTTTGGATACCACAGTACATTTTCAGAACGGTAATGTACTAAAAAGAGCATTCCAGTTTTGTTATTCCAAACGTTCACGCGTGACTCCATTTTAGCGCGCGCGCAGCGACGTCACACGTTCGTACGCCCTTGTAGTCTGTTCGGGGTAAACTGTCACGGGGCTGTGAATGTGGATGTGTACGCGTGAACGCCGCGCGAAGGGGGCGCGAACACTTTGTCGCGGGACAAAATACTTACTCTGATCGGAGAACAATCGTGAACGCGCGTAAACCCCGCGAAAACCATCCGCATTCACGTTCACGCCTGTTTACAGAGTTTCACGGCACAAATGTGGAGCCGCCATTATGGTTGTAGCACGGGACAGGGGTTTTTTAGATAAAAAAATAAATTTACTATCCGTTTAAATAAATTATTTGTATTATATTTTTTTTGTTTTAGTATAAAAACAGTTATAAAATCAAGTTAAAATTGCTAATTTGGCAGAAATAAACAAATGGAAATTCAAAAATCAGAATCTTATTTCTCTATATCAGGGTTACTGCATTCCGGTGACGTCCCGCCTTCCGGTGACATTTATTACAAAAGAATCAACAGTTTTGTCTATATTAAACTTAACAAATTAACAAAACCACTTAAAAATTAAAACAAAATAACAACCAACAAACAAACAAAGATAACTGTGTCCGAAAACTGAGCGATCACTAACGCATTCCAAGATGGAATGTCGTTTGTTCGTTATTTAAAAATTATTAACTATGTCAAGCAAGCCAAGGATTTTTGGTAGTGCCTCAAGACCAACAAAACCAAATGCAAACAGGAACACTTACAGTCAGGTAAAAGGTTTACAATCCCTGAGGACGGTGGTCATTGCATCTGTGCGAGTGAGACGCTTTTTATTTACGCGGGAGTGACAGAGACAGGTAATAAAAGGTTATCGTACGAAATTCTTCCTTCTTCGCGTCCGGACTATAATATATACAATGTTGAGACAACTAGATTAGTTTATTTTAATTACTTTCATAGCTTAATGTCTTACAAAATCTTATTATGGGTTAATGCGACTGACATTGAAGTCATATTTGTTTTGTAAAAGAGAAGCGTATGGGCGATTTATAACTTAAATTGTGGAGTCTTTTAGAAAAAATTTAAAGAAATAAACATATTAACTTTGGCATCACTATTTATTTATGAAAATGTATGTACATAAAAACATAAATAGCTTTGATAAGAACAAAGATAATTGATAGAATCAGGCGTTACTTTGCGGAAATCCATTATAATAAAAAATAAAAATATAAATTTCTTTGCAACTTTCCGCTAAACACCGCTCCTTGTTTAGCGGAAAGTTGCAAAGAAATTTATATTTTTATTTTTAAGAACAAAGATGTTCATACTTTAATACCAGTTACTAGACTTCACAGAATTGGTAATTCATTTATAGGGCTATTTTTATTACGCTTTTACAACAAAATCCCAGAAAATGTACAAAATCTGTCATTAAACATGTTTTAATGTTTTATGTAGGAAAAATTGTACAAAAAGAGTTATTATAATATAAAAGAATACGTAAATGAAAATAACCCCTGGGATAGAGGTGACCGCCACCATGCTGGTTCTATAAAAATTCATTCAAAAATTGTACAAAATAAATTTATTCGTAAAAGTAGTTGAAATATGTTTTTAAAAAAATCCCGCTGGGTTTCTTGCTACTTCTTCCAAGGACAGTTTTTTTTTTCGAACCAGTGGTAAATAAAAATCACTTTCAATAAATATTATAGAATAATCTATATTGAATAAAAAATCATTCGTTCATTCATTCATTTCATTTCAGTCATTCATATTAAATGTAAATTATCGTTTATGTCATTTAGTATTGTAAGTTTGGAATTACTTTGAAAACTATAAAAACACCAAAACATCAATGTTTTTTTAAAGTCATATTTACCTGAAGCTGGTCAACTTGTGCTTGGTGTTTAGCAATGCTATCCTGGTCACGCTGGTACTGTGAGCTACTTGATTTGAACTCCCGTTCCAATGTCTTTAGCCTATCCTCTGCATGTTTTTTCTCCATCGTACTCTGTGAAATACGTGTTGATGCTTCGGAGGCTTCTTGCTTAGCAGCTACAACAACAAAAATAAGTAAAAATAGTGTCATTTTTTACCAAAAAAAAAATGTATTTTGATCAAGAATTTACGATTCTATATGGGCTTCCTTTAAAAAAAACTAATGTTAGAATGTTACCCATGAGTTGATCTTGCAAAGATTCTGAAGCTCCTTCCAACCCTGTGCTGACTGCGAGGAACTTCTGTTGTGCCTCTGCCAAAGCCGCTTCACTTGTTTCACTGGCTGATTTTAAGCTCTCAAATGTTGATGACACCTGGAGTTACACATTGTAAATTACATTTTTGACTGTAAATTAATCAAGTCTATCGTGATTTATTATCAGTATGTGTTCAACGTAATTTATAGTCAACCAAATCTAAGAAATACCTTTTGACATTTCATATTAATCATTCCGCAATAACTTTGCACAAGCGTACTCACACGATTTAAAATAACCTTTTACGTAAATCCGAAGGATTATGAAGTTATCTATATTTCATTACAACGTATATAGTTTTTTATTATTTTTTATTTAAATTCGAATCTTTTGAACAAAGCAAAATATTAAAAAAATAACCAGTACCAATAGTTTTGCTTGACGTCGTTTCAATGATACGTCGCTATGAACCTTACCGTAGTGTTTGAATGATTAAAATTCCTTGTTATGCGAATAATCGAAAAAAATATTGAAATAATCGGTAAAAATATTGAAATAATCGAATCATTAATTTTTTTAATGTATTGTTTATTTAAATTTTTACTTTTAAAATTCCTAAAATTACATGAATCATGAATAAAGCAAATTTTTTTTTTACTTTGTCAACGTAAATTTATGTAGGCAAAAAAACTCATATACAAGACTGCGTTGAAAAATCACTACGTAATTTCAATCTCCCCCATTTCGGGACTTACTGTGCGTAATTTTGTGATTTTGTGTTTGTCTTCTTATTTTGTGACTCGGATTTAACTGTTTAAACTGTTTCTTCTATATTCGTTGAAGCATGTGCCCATGTCACAAAGGATGATTGGGCAAAATTGGAAGAAAAAACAAAAATATTGATTATGGATGACTTTGAAAGATACATTAATATTGACTGCGCTATTGAAAATTAAATAACAATTAATCTAAACAACGACAGCTCTCCTAGTTGTACTGAAAGTGATAGAATAAATTCATTTTTAATCTAGTTTCAATCTTAATTTTTTATAACTGTGCCTCTAGAAATAAGCAGTAACAACAAACAAATACGAAGAAACTGATAAATCTTGTTTTTTTAATGATCTGTTTTTAATTTAAAAAACTGTAGATGATTACCAACTCTAAATAATCGATATCGATTTTTTTAAGAATTGAATATTGTACGTTCCCATTTTTTGGTTGGCATGCTTGGTGCAATAAATCTGACAGCTGTCAAAATGTATTTCTTAGATTTGGTTGACTATAGTTTGCGCAATCGACAACAGATGTTGTTGGGCGGTGTTTGTGACGCAATGTGGTTTGACCAGCACATTTTGCTTAAGGACCCTGAAACAATACTGTAATCAGGGATTATCGTATGTTGTAGAAACATCGATGATGACATCGATGTTGGCATCGACGATGACACATCAATGATGATCGATGTTAGCATCGATAGCTCAACATCGATGTTCGATGTTTATCCTACTCAAAACATCGATGTTGAACATTATCGATGTTTTTGCATATGTATTTAATAGGTTAGAATTAGATGAACAAAATATAGAATTGTTGTTTACTGTATATTATTAATGAAATCAAAGAAATTAATAAACAATTTACTTAGTTTAAAACAGTAAGTTAAAAAAAATTGGAAGAAGTTAACAAATATCTAGTTCATTTGTTATACAGTTCAATGTTTTGCTATTGATTGAAGAGATAGTAATTTTGACAAAGAAGTACCTTGCAATCTGTTTCTCTGTTGTTAAAGAGTTTGAGCCAGCTTTTGAAAATAACCTTCCAGTAATCGATTATGGGATCATTGACAATGATGTTTCGATGTCAATGACCCCATAATCATGTGGGGAAGATTGATGTTAAAGCATCGATGATTATCGAATATCCCTAACTGTAGTCTCTTTCAACACACTGTAGTCTCTTTCACCTATGGGCGGATCCCAGAGGATCTTGAGCCTGTCAAGTTCAAACACGGACCTTCGAGCCGAATAAGACTTAGCCGAGGAGAGTGTAATGTCGGGAGGTTCGAAGGAAGCAGGGGTGCCGTGACGTCAACGTGCTGACGTCACAAGCCCGAAATAGGACGCCAACGAGCCGACGTTACCATGAGGCCGAGGGTTGCGTAGGATATGAAGATAGGAGGCCGCAGGGAGCAGAGGAAGTAGGAAGGCCGAAGATAGAACGTCTACGAGTCGATGTCACCAGGAGGCCATAGGAAGCGGAGGAAGTCATCAAGCGTGTCGTCAGCCTGCAGCCTGCAGACACACGTGGTGCGTCACGTATCTGGTGCAGCTCGCGCGACTTAGCGTGCAGCGCTGCGCTGTCGTCCTGTAACGCGCGCTGCAGCAGGCGGGCGCGCACCTGGCTGGCGGCCAGCAGCCTGCATCCGCATCCTGCAGCCTACAGACACACGTGGTGCGTCACGTACCTGGTGCAGCTCGCGCGACTTAGCGTGCAGCACTGCGCTGTCGACTTGCAACGCGCGCTGCAGCAGGCGGGCGCCCGCCTGGCTGGCGGCCAGCAGCCTCCAGCCTACAGACACACGTGGTGCGTCACGTACCTGGTGCAGCTCGCGCGACTTAGCGTGCAGCGCTGCGCTGTCATCCTGCAACGCGCGCTGCAGTAGGCGGGCGCGCGCCTGGCTGGCGGCCAGTAGGTCGGCGGCGGCGCGTGCCGCGCTGGCCAGCGCCGCTTCATCGCGCTCGGCGCCCGCGCTCTCCCCCTCCAGCCGCTGCAGCGCGCACCCGCTCTCCTGCAACACGAACACGTTCACTCACTTTCCAAGAAACACACCGTCACAGGGTAACCATTCCTCTCCCGCTCTGCAACCCGTATCGACTTTTACACTCAACTCAAAAGTATGTGTGAGAGCCACACTGCAACTATATTATGGCTGTAGCACACATGAGTCGGCTCCACCGAGGCAAGATTAGGCTGTCACATAGCCAAGCCAAGCCAAGTAAAATAAGCCAAGTAAAATAGCAGCTTAATGAAACGAGACATTCCATCTTGTCCTCATGTTTAACAATGGAATTTCAGTTTGATTTTTAAACCAAAAAAATAAATGTAGGATAATGAACGAAAACAAGGTAAAACAACAATAAGGGCGAATTTATACACAAAACAATACCTCAAGTGCTATAATAATTGATTTTTTAAACATTTTTAACGAAAGGACAGACTCGGCTCCTCGCCTTGTGACAACGGCGTAAAATATACCACCCCCTAGTTTTGTTTTCGCATCATGAAGCAAAAAAGTAAATATATGGCCCCGAATTCCCGGCCCCTCTTTAATGGGGCAGGGGTGCGAAGAATCTCCGGGAGGAAAACCGGCGACGTGGTTTGCCACCCGTCACGTTCTGTCTTCCGGAGAGGCGCGAAGTTTTTTTTTTTTTTTTCTGTACCCCCCCCCCCTTTTTTTCTTTTTTTTTTTTTTTTGTTTTCCTTTTTTCAGGTTAAATCATCCACCAACTAAAAATTTTTCGTGCATAACATCTAACAATGTATATCACCTGATTTGTAGTTTATTTCAGGTAATTATTCTGTAACTGTCGCAAATGAAAATACACTACAACTACATGGCATATTTGCTTTTTTTTTAAAATAATGACCTGTTTCTTTTTTTGTAGTTTAAGGCATTTTGTTAGGTACCCCCTAATGCCAGTCACAAGTTGTGTCCGAGTGACCTCAAAGTTTCTGGCCAGTTATTCACAGCATTTATGTTAACATTCGTAAGACCTAGTATAATTATTTACCTCATCCAGCTTTTTGTTTAATTCAGCAACTTGTTTGTCTAAATCTTTTGCCTCTTTCTCATTTTTCTTAATATTCTCTTTCTTTTCCTTGATTTCATCTTGCACTTGAGTCACTTTAGCTTCTGCTTCTTTTGCACTTTTCTCTGCAGTCACATATCTTATAAAAATATTATTAGATTATTAAAAGAACTTACTAATAAATGTATAATCAATACACAAAAGCAAAGAAAATACTAACTTCCAAGCCACATAAAGTCTGGTGAGGTTCTCCAACTCCCTCACAACTTTCTGGTATTCCTGAAATTGTGACCTCTCATCTTGCAACTTCTGTAGCTTGGGTGCAATATCTTCTTTAATGATCTATAAATTGAATATGTAGGAGTAAAAAATGCTATATACTTTTATATTAAAAATATATGATAAGTAACAACTACACTAACTTTTCTTTAGTCTATTTAAATTATAAATTTAAAATCTTAGACAGCTAAATGAAATGGCACAAAGGGAACATATATTAACTGGTATTTTCTAATAATAACTCTGGCACAGAAAAGAATAAGTTATAAATTATAGAGTTCATAGGGAATTCTGCAAGTGTTACCAGATAAATAACAAATAATAAATGTTGCATGTATTTCTCCAGAAGTTAAATTAAAAAGTTAACTCTAAGCTAATTTTCACTTGCATCATTTAATTCTCTGAGTTTGGCATCTTTTTTCTCTATAGTTTTCTGCGCTGCTTGCTTCTTTGCTTCATACATCCTAGTACCAGCTGCTTCCTCCACCATGGAAAGAATCTGAAAAATATACAAAAAAAAAATTGTATTTAAGTTTCATTTTGTGTTTAAGTAATGGTAAGATTACTTTTCTTTTTGTTAAATAAAATGAATTAAAGTAAACTATTTAAAATAAATATTTGAAATTTACAAACTTTATGTCAATTATTTCTTTGACATTTAATAATGATTTAACACAGAATGATGTAAATGATGTAAAACAAAAGAATTTGTCCTAACATACACACATTTTATAAACAAAGTAAGTATAAAGGACAACATGTAACATAGGATAGAATAGAATAGAATATTTTTATTCTATACATATTACTATAATACTTATAGAAAGTCACTTAAGCTTTACCACTGTACTTTACTTGTATTAAATGCAACAATGCAAAATTTCTACAAGGACACATTTGTCAATATAACTTATTATTACTTTTTCTTTACCTTTATCTTATTTTTCACCATATTTACAAAAAATGTAACTTACTTCAGGGGGCTTCATATTTAGCACTTTAGTTATCCGCCCCTGCATTATAAGGAAGTGTGGATTGTTCACGTTGAGTTGTACTGAACAAAATAAATCACTGACCCTCTTGTTCTGCACATTGATTCCATTTATAAGGTATTTGTTTTTCCCACCCATTACAACCTGGAAATAATCAAATGAAAAATAGTAAATAGAGTTTGAGTTCAATTTTATAGATGCACAAATTACTTATTACATAATACTTATTTATAAAGGTACTTATGCAAAAAATAATTTATACTATTACGAAATTGTCTTGATATTACGAAATACTCAAGGGGGTAACTCTCTTGAATCTCTAAAGTAATCTGATCTTTATGAAGATCATATGATTCAGTTTTTTTGAATTGATACAAATCCATTTGATTTTCTAGATGATTTATTTACTTATGTCAGGTATTGAATACGAAAAAGACCATACAGTATTTGTTGGGTGAGCAGGCATGGTCAAATTGTAACTGTTTATGCTACAACTATATGTAAACAAATATTGTTCCTCTTCTCAGCAGTTAACTTTGAAAAGCTGGACCATCATTTTTCACACATTGATTCAAAGATGTAACAAACAAATTTATGGTGTAAGTGGGCCTCAGCTCATGTTATTTTAAACAGAATAATTATTATAGTTGCCCTAAATGCCTACTATTGATATTTACAATAAGTCTTGTTTGTCACTAGTAGCAGGGGGATTTACTTACAAAAATTGGTGCCAACAAAGAATCTTACATATCCAGTAGTCTTTGAATATTAGAATTTTTGAAAAGTTTATAAAACGTAAATTGGCTCTTATTTTTCTTTTAATTCAATCCTTTAGTTCAATATTCTAAAAATCAGTATGATGACATGTGATCCAAGCCATAAATTTTTCTAAGCACTACAATCCTAGAAATCGAATCAAATGAAAATATTGCACATCATGTCATGTCATTGCACATCAATATGCTGAGACCAAAGAGCAACATGTTTAGCCAAAAAGATACTATGTTGAGACCAAGAGTAGCATGTTTAGCCAAAAAGATATGGGTTAAATTGGCAAATTGTAAAGGTAGTGACTTCTTTTATGACACGCTAAGGAACATAGTTGGCACATTTTTTTGTTATTAGTCACACATCTTTACATCCCGAAACAAAATAAAGCAAAATTAGTTTTATGGTTTGTTAAGTATTTGCATAAATGTAAGAAATCAGATTATAAAAATCTACCTGTCTTGTAACAGTGATCTCATCATGATTTTCATAGCCAATGGGACACTGGCGTTTATCACGGTTGTCAAAGGTGATGCTGACTGTGGCCTTGGTTATGCCTGCCTGGCCATGCTTGTAAATGAGCTCCTGTAGGCTACCTGCCCTCACCTGAAATCAGTAAAATTTAATATTTAATCTACTTATGTTGTCATTAACACATGATAAAGCATAAAAATATTTCCTTATAATATATATTGATAGTGTTGAAGGTAAAATTGCAACATCTGGGGAATGTATCATGTATCTTTCAATGAGGACTGAGGAAAATTAATTAGTGTAGGCAGTAACATGGCATGTAATTTGGCAAATGTGGTGTTTCTGGGAAAATTTGATTGCAAACTGACTATTGGAACAAATATAAAGAATGTATATTGTGTGCTCGGAAAGCCACGGATGTAATTGGTGATAATGTAGACAAAGCTCGCGCGCTTTATCTATCACAATGCGGAAACATAATCATTAAGTGTTTCATTATTGGTACCTAGAAGACTGACTTCTTTGACATTTAAAGACATTAGTTTAGTTTAGTTTACGACGGGCTGTTTACCGCAACTCCACGTCTAAGCGCGTATTTTGCGTGTGGGCAGGAATAACATGGTTATTCGAGACATGATATCTCCTCGAAGAAGCTCAGCAGTCCCTTGATGTTGCAAGCAACTTCGGGGAGCGATCCCGGCGTGCCGAGATGTTTAGCCCTGTATGAAGCGACTTCTGGACATGTCAGCAACACGTGAGCCGCCTCGCATGCATGCCCTGCACAGGGAGCTATCAGTAACACCTATGGTGAGCAAATGTTTGTTAAAAGAGCCATGTCCTCTGATAGCACTTGATACTATCCTGATCTGTGGCTAGTTCAGTCTCATTAGAACCTTGGTTAGACGACTGTTTATTTCAGGTAGGGCCTCCCTAGCTTGTCCACAGTCTACTAAATTTTTCCAAAGCTGAGCGTGTAAATTATTGAAGTATCTACGTACCAGTGAACGAACATAGCCAAAGGGGATTGGTATTATTGGTTCCGGCCCTATAGTTGCCAGGGCCGATCCCCTTCGGGCCAGTTCATCTGCTGCATCGTTGCCTCTAGATCCACTGTGTCCCTTGATCCATTGCAGAGTAACATTGTTGTGCTTACATACCTCATTCAATCGTTAATGGCACTCATATATCAGTCCCGAGTTCGTCACATTGCAACTCAGAGCTTGTAGTACCGCCATACTGTCAATCATTATTCTGATGGAGAAGTCTTTCACCTTCTTAGCATCTATTGCTATGGCCGCTTGGATGATACCCATGCAATCAGCCATAAAGACTGAGTTGTGGGTACCCAGCAGTGTGCATATGTGGATATTAAGGTCTTCAGAGAAAGCCCCAGACCTTCATTTGTCTTAGAGCCATCCGTGAAAACCTTGAGCTCTCTTGGACCCAATCCTTCCAGATGGTCAGTTTCCTTCAATTGTATCCTGTACTTTTTATCGAATACAAATTGTTTTGGGATCCTATCATACTTGGCTTGTAAGATAGGAATTTTTGAGTAAATTCTATCGATTATATCTGTATGGGGGACTCTACTTTTACTTAAAAGATTTAGGGTCTTGAGTCTAATGGCAGCTAAATTTCCTTCTTGTTGTATATGTAGATGAAGCGGTGTTAGCTCGAGCATAGCCTCCAAAGCTGCTGTTGGTGCAGTCCTTATGCAGCCCCTGGCAGGCATACAAGTTAATATCTGGTAACGCTGAAGCTCTTGTATAGTGGTGGCTTCGTTGGTTTTGGTCCACCATACCAGAGAGCCGTATGTGATCATGGGCCGAATTACAGTTTTGTACAGCCACAGTATAATTTTTGGGGTTGAACCCCTGTAGTGTGTGTAGTGTATGCTCGTGTAGTTATATATATGATAGCCTAATAAACATTCAGTCAGTAATAAATCTACAGTCAAGACCACTAGACGTATTATTTATTTCCCGAACCTCCCGACATTACATGGCGACCCTGCCAGGCGGTGCGCTGCTACAATGCAAGCACACCGCCGGGACCTGCATTAGAAAAAAAGTAATTTATTAAAGAACATAAATACATAAAAATAAATATATAAAAATAATATTATAATAAAATAAACATAATACCGGACGTGACAAATAATATAAAATAATATACGAATATAAAAAGAGATTACAATTTTTTTTTTGAGAAATTGAAGTCTATTATACACTTAAAGAAAAAATGAAGAAAATACCTGAAAAACAAATTATGCAAGAAGCTCCAGTAACATTGTTTTAACAGCATAATCAATATTGACAAGTTCCAAGAAAGAAGATTCCAAGAACAGAAAACTTCTTAATCAAAATTCCTTCAAGAGAAGAATAAAGAACTTAAGAAAAAAGAAGCGTACGAGGAAGTCCAAGCCCGACCATATCGGGGAGCTAAGAACATCTTCGAGTGCCAGAGCAGCAGAAAGAAGTCAGGGGTACAACGAGCGACTAGTCAAGTTCAGTAGCAGGTACAAAACATCTCGAAAGCACCGAATGTAAGTTTAATTATATAATGGTGTCGATGTCTATTGTCAAATTATATTATTACTTATATAATGTTATACACAAAACTGGGGAAAGAATTTTTTGAAATCATTCATTAAAAAATAGGAAAAACATTAGTACTATTAATAGAAAAATTCAAAATTATGTATTATACCGCAATAATTAATCGGTAAATAACTACTTAATAATGATAATAATAATATTTGTTTGCAACAATATGGTGTTTAGGTATAATTTAGTTCTACATATTCTACCATAGTAATGTGTAAATTTTAATGGACAAGTAACCGTAACAATAATTATCGAAATTTTAACAACACATATAATTATTCAATATTTTTTAATTGATAACTTTCTAATTAATTATGTAACAGCATCAGAGGAAATACCAATTTTATATTATTATTATAGCTCAATACCATATACTTGTCAATTTCATCATTAATTTGTCAATCATTATGTATTATAAGTTATAAATGTTACATCTAATTATCATTATTTTTTTCTGTTTTTATGTCAAATTTATTAATTCACTATTCCATTCATAACGAACTAATGCAAATAAGACAAAATAGTAGTTCCTTAGATAATTATGGCAATAAAATCGAACAATTATTCGTAGATTTTACGATTTCTCAAGCCGATGGTATATAATAAAAGACTACTATAAATAAAAAAGATCGCTATTAAAAGTTTCACAAATGGCTTGCGAAATCGACAACTCAGTATTATTTTGTCAGCACGTAATTATAGTACGTTAAAAGAAACAATTAGAGCTGCAAAGAATGAGGAGGCTTCTAGTGTTCGACCTACCGAGTACACCGAACCATCGATTTATTTCGGGAATCGGGGTGATTCAGGAACGCGTAAAAATTTACGTGGTAGGTATATATCTAATAATGTACCACGGCAAATAATAATTATTTGAGTATACCTCCGAGATGCGAGAATTTATTTTATATCAATGCGAGTATGAAAGAAAGAAATGTTCAAAAATGGGAATACGAATGATTGAGTGGTTAAGTTTCGTCAATTGGACTGATCACCCAAATATTTGATGATGCTTAAACTAGTAGTATTGAATCCGTTAAGAGTGAGAATTATGAAAGCACAAAAGGAATAAATATAAAAGAAAATAGTTGACCTTAATAAATAGGTAATGGAGAGATTACGGGAACGTCCATCACTGGTATAACATATAGTCCTGGAGCAGGGTATGTTTCCGTGATTGGATGATAAAATCGGGTGTAATGGGTACTAGGTAACAGTATCTTCAGTACAAGTGATGTACACGAGTTTACACATATTAGAACTGTTAGGGACCATAGAAGTCTTAAATTTGTTACCCTTAATAATTGTACATGGAGGTCATATCCTTCTTTGGATCACAGTATGAACTAAGTTTTCCTCCGTGTCAATTGTTGGAGTTCTTTTAATGACTTAAACGTAGACCTCAAGGTTGTTCACACAACCCAAGGTACATTTTACCTTGATATAGAAAAAAAGTTTATGTACCAATAAAATGAAATGAATGTTACGAAAATGTAATATAATACCCAAATAATTGGGGACCCATATTTATAAAGTACCCGCGTGACAAATATGAAATAAAATATAAATGAAATGAATTAATACTCCGATTCCCGGTATCTAATAAATATATAAGTGAATAGAGAGAAAAAGAGCTAGCTTAAGGTCAAAAATATTAAGAAGAAAGAAAAGAAAGTAAAAGAGCAAATCAAAAAGTGTGTAGTTTCCATTTCTGTATTAGGACTATTAATGCTACCCAAAATGCGACTAAGAAGTTACACATGTAATAACTATAGGGATCGATTTACACAACTACGCGAAAATGTGTTGTGTGTGTATGTATTATGTGCGTAATTGTTTAACCACATTTGTTGATTGTTATTGAATTTACGAGATATTTTTTTTCATATTTTAGGCACATTGATTCATATTTACTACAAATCTGGTTGAATTTTTTGTCATATGTTTTTAATGTAAAATTTGTACATTTCAACTATATTTGGTTTATATTTTGCTCATAAAGTAAAGTCCAGAGTCTATCAATACACTGTTATTATAAATTTATTAATGTTATAGTATACTTTTTACGTTTTTTTAAGGACAACGAAACCTAAAATTATGTTATCTGTTTGAAATAAAATTGTCTTTTCCAATGTTAATAAATATTTCGTAAAACAAACTTGTCCTAGTCGTGTTTTTTTATATAAATTTCATGTCATGAAAAAATGAGTTTTCGAAATTATAAATAACTTATTAATGATTTTTTGTTGATATACCTATGTAAAAGTATAATACTTTTACAAAATGAATTTAAGAGGTACAAACTATTGGGAAAGTTAAATTCATTTTATTTATAATATCATTTTAATGCATGGTTAAAACTAGGTACCATTATACAACGTAATCGAAAAAACGTTCCCATGAACGTACTTAGAAATTAAAACACAGGTGTCACAAACCGCTTACGCGGCTGAGATTGTAAGTTGTATTTGATCCCTGTAATGATTATGATTATGTTGCACTAGGACTGCTGTGAGACAAAACGTG